TTGGTAAATCCTTTCACAACGATGGCCAGCATTATAGTGTATGCCATTGATACGATAAGAAGATAGATACACATGATTGTTTCTAAAACTTGATTTGGTAGTACCGACTGTAATGGACTAAACTGTCTAGGCTCCTTATAGTTATTTCTATTGTGAAAACCCGTCTCTTTTAAATATCACTTATTATTTTTTACTGAGTTAGATATTCCAAAAATATTTGTATGTGTACCATATAAGGCGGTGATATCATAGGGTTTTAAATACAGATTTACATAATCACTCTTGTGCCAGAAGTATTTGTTAGTACTTACACATTATGATTTCCTATACAATAAGCCCATATCAAAGTAAGGACGCTACGTAATAAAGGCCTTTTAAAGAAGACACAATGGAAGTGTCACATGGTCTCCCGAGAACATAAATATGAGAAATTAGTATTAGTCAACATGAAGCGTCCATTAAATTTTATCGTCAATTATAGCATCTAAAAGTTCAGTTTTAATATTTTTTATAAAATTTGTCCGTTGTAATAAATATGGGTTTTAAATTGTCTGATGTAACCGAATTGACGGAAGTTAGTTTAATTAAATTTTGCTGTCAACGTCTTGTTCTGGAGCCAATTAATTACTACAGAAATTATTCAGTTACTGAGCTAGTCTATGTCAGATTTGCACATTAGTAGTAGGTACTTAATATGTATCTTTTTGAAATACGTCGTCTGCAAATAATATGTGTTGGTATTATATCGTGTTTGTTATTTCCTATAAAAACCGTTAATTATATTTTTCAAATAGAAACATCGTTTTTCTTTTTTTGTTTAATATAAAAAATAAAGCCTATTCTAAAAGCACAACCAAAGTCTATATAAAAGTCTTCGTGTATGTAAACATTATAAATAACATCCTCAGAACCAGGGACAAGCAACCGTCGCGACAACTATTATATGTATAGCGTTTAATCTATACATTTTTCTAAATACAGTCATAAATATTTCTGACGATTATTAAGCTCAATACATTTTTGACCCTAAAGCGCACAACTATGAAAATCTATATTTAAGCTTGCTGCTGCCGCAGCGGCAATTGCTCGGTTTTGCCACTGTCGGTAGGATGCAAGACCCGAGAGGCGATGCGATCGCGCGCTGCAGCTAAACCAACGGTGATCATGTGCAAAATTACAAGAAGCAAGGCCACGCATGCTACAATGCCGATTGTAACGCCTGGTTTGCTCCAGTCTATTACTGGGTAGATCCATGAGTCGCCGTCTCTGGAAAAGACCAAAGACGTAATTAAGTTCCACAAATTCTGACCAACTTAGTTATACATATATTTTATATATTATTATATTAATCAGCAGAAAACCAGTCACTGCTCAATATGTTGAAATTAGTGTAACGTATCCGCTACCGGAAAATTTGCAACACAGCATCGAAACAAAAGTATCGATACCACAAGGTATCGATACTTTTGTCCTGCAAATTTTCGCTACATAAAAACGGAATAAAACATATGAATTAATAAGTCTTTTTTTATTTATGATTTTTAATTGAAACAAATAATAAAAGACTGATTAAATCGATCAATTCAATCAATCGTCGTTTCACATTGTTTGTGTTACATAAATTTCCTCCTCTGTATAATCACTTAAAAACAAAAATCTATTTGGTAACAGTCTGCTTCTCATGTTTGATATTGTATTGCCTGCTATTGAGAACAAACGGTCTGAAGAAAGAACAAAATTCATTGCGATTACTCCAATATAATGTTTGTCAGGTAGGTATGTTAATTCAAATGTTTCTAACTATTTTTGTTCATTCTCATTCTTATAAAGAGGCAAATGGTGGCATACACTATACATCCAAGAAGAATAGAATTGAAAAGTTCCTAAATGGGAACATTGTCAAAACGAAACGATACTTGTTAAAAAGTGTTAATACCTGAAAAGTATCGAATGAAAAGCATCGAGTACAAAAGTATCGGTAACGGAAGGAAAAGTACTCGATACCAAAAAGTATCGATACTTTTCCATGTCTCTGGCAAATCAGTTTTCCGAATTTATACGTGTCTAATAGCAAGAATTTATTAAATCGAAGGGTCGCACAAAAAGATTTGTATAATAATTTACTTCGTTAATCAGAGTAGATCTTGCGTGTTTTAGCAAGCTTCTTTATTTAGAATTAGCGTTATTCCCTGTTTAATTGTTAAATGATTTCAAAGCAAAATGCGTGTGTTTGTTTCTGCATTTTACCTTGTTTAAATAACTTTAATTAGTTAATAGTCCAAAATGATACAGATTTTATTGCATATATATTGTATGTATAGTTTTAATACGAAAAAATTAATTCCAAAAATTTTAGATTTAAAAAAATTTTGGTTATACTTACGGATTCTTACCACCCGCAAAATGATAAATAAGGTTGAAGATGAGGTAGATGAAGCAAAATACAATAGCATGGTGGAAGTGTAGCAGCCGACTGGGGTGCTTCGAAGTTATTAGAAGCAGGAACACTATTACGGAGTTCAAAGCGTGTACAGCCACGTCTAGTCCATGATTCATTTCTTCTTCGATACCAGCTGTACATAAACAATATACAGATAGTCATATATGTGTGCTCAAACTTTTAATACCCTAATTGTTAACAAGCTTGTATTAATCCATTCAGGGCAAACCATCGTGATGTTATCGTGTTACTGTCATTTTCAATAACAGGGAGACAGACGGCCTTCATTGTAGGTATACATTAAAATGTACTAAATATAATTACATGCTTCAGACCCAATCAAGTATGTCCTCAGTTTTGTATGAAAAACATATTTTATAGATGCCCAGGCCCAGGTCAAATAGCGTAAATTTCAATGCGATATTTTTTATAATGTACAATGTTTACGTGAGTGAACAAATGGGTCAGAACCGCTTTTCATATTATTATGTACACGGTGCCTTAGGAGTTATTCGTCCGTCACATAGCAAAACACGTCACTTGTGTGTGTCAGTGTGTTTTGAGGGAGTCAACACACGGAATCGGCTTAAGCACTTACAAATATTTGCCACATCTGCAGTGGCAAGTTGAGTCATGTCTAAGCCGAGGGATATGCCGTATATGCCGAGAGGAAAGATTTAAACGCTAGATTTTGAGAAGTGCCTAAAGTCACCTTTTAAAGAAAAGGTATTAAAAACAATAAATATATATATCTCACGGACAGACGGACCTTTGTTTTTACATGTTTCCTAATAATTTTACGTATTTTGATTTTATTATGATAACTAGTCAGATAGCGTGCCGACATGTACGACATGCAGTAGGTAGTAATTATTGCAGGCCAGAAGGACGCGCCTTCGATGCAAAATTATCGTAATAAGAAGGATATTAAGATCAAGGTTTGTGTAGTTACTCATTCGATTAAATATGACGAATCCATGTGTGGTTTATTTTATGAAAAAATGTTATTGTGTCTTTTTTGTTCCGACAGCAGTATTTTACACAAACAATTACCGTGTTTATACAATTCCATCTTTATGAGTAGAAAATTCTCAATTTTGGTATTTATTTACTCTGTATTTACAGTCATGATTGCGAAAGGCTAGACTAGCCAACGTACATAAGGACGAACATTCATAAAATTGGTTTTTAGTGCAGTTACTATCTACAGTAGAATCGCGAAATATAGCTAAATACGTACCTTCATATAGTACAGACCAATAAAAAATTGTAATGAGGAAACCGATAGGTACGCTGATGTTGTACAGCACCCAGAAAGTCTTCACGTACCAGGGCAAGCAAAACTCAGCACCTGGAAATAAGAATCGCGCAAATAATTAGGAATCTTTGTTTATTATTGAGAGGTGTATGTCGATGTTATGCTTCTGTAGTAAATTTTTATATTTCCTACGAATATTGTATAAAAATGACCCCAAAAAGCTAGTTTCGATTTATTTTATAGATACAGTGACTGCAGCTAAAGTTGTACAATATACTGAAGTTGTATCCGAAGTTACTGAAGTTAGATCCGGCCGTATTCGAACCGACATCTCCTAGCAAACAGTGCCAGACGCTATGTCGACTAAGCCACGGAACGAACCAGCGAACCCCACGAATTTTTCTATGTGCTTGTTGTCGGATCGTATAACAGGTGGTGAAAATATGCCTATTACATTGTTTCATTGCGTTTTGTAATATTAGGAAACCCTGCGTCCGAGTGGCACTGCAACTGTTATGGACAGGCGCACGACTTGTTCGTCCCGTCACTTGCTGACGGTCATAAAAAAATCTCACAACGAATTCTAAATGGCATTTAGTGATCTTTCTTATCATTTGTTAAACTCCGTCTTGGAATCCGTAATTAGTATCATGGAAAAATTCACAAAATACCACGTTATAGTCGTCTCACATGTATATGTAAATAAGTACTATATTACATGTATGACTGTTTGTTACCACACATTAAATAAATAAAAAACACCTTTAACCTTAAATTTTAACTGGATGAGTTAACGGTAGATTTTTCATATTTATGCTATTTAATATACTAATGAAAAATAAAATGCACTGCACATTGCTTTAAATAAAGGCTACTTACTTAAAGGTCCGTAAAAATGACACCGTGCAGACACAGCTGTAGCGAATCCAGTGGTAAGCAAAATTACAGTCAACCCCCAATGAGTCAAATATATGAACCAGAACCTATACATTGCATTTTGTATGTAATAAACCATAGACGCTATCACTATTGCCAATGTGCCTAAGAAAAGGAACATTCGAAATATTAACAGAGGCACTGACGATCTATTCCTTTGCCATGGACTGAGATAGAAGTCAGGTGATTTTAGGTGTTCGAAACCTAACTGCTTCCATTGGGTTTCTTCCTTCAAATATTTCTTAACGGCACTCATGGTTGTATACCAAGGAACAATTTCTACTAATACTAATTTTAAAACAACGCCCAAAGTTGGTTCACCTTATCGAAACGTATTGATAATATATCACAGATTACAATGTATCGAATAGAGTGTTATCTGTATATATATATGTGTCGTACGTATTGAGCCTTCCAGTGATAGATAAACTCTTGTAAGCCTGAACGAGACTAAAACACTTATTCTTGTTAGCCTAAAAAAATCATCTATTTGTAATCTTGATTTGTTATTACTGGCGAATAATGGGTATTAAATTATCCATTGTCACCGGGTGACGTGTTCTTAGTCGTCACCACTGGTTTTGTCATCACCTGAGACGAATGGGTATCGCAAATTTAGATTTGCAGTGGTAATTGAATTGAAACTATAAGCGTAAGAAAATACACTTCCGGACATTCCGGAACTTCCGGAACACTTACCAAACCTACCATCTGGCCGGATTTGAACCTTCGTCTTCTAGCAAATCGTGTCAGACACTATGCCTACTGAGCCACGGAACGAACCAGCGGACTTTACGAATCCCTTGTGCTTGTTGTCGGACCTTTGTATTTGGTTTTCAACGATTTTTTAGCCGTAGCGTCATCTATGAGAAATCTAGCCAAGCCTGGTAGCTGTAAAGTTACCTAACTGGGTGACGAAATACTTTCATAGATTTTTCATAGATGGCGCTACGGTTAAAAAGTAGTGGAGTAATATCACAATAATAACTGAATATTAATTCAACACAAATTTAAAAAATTGGTAAATTTATTTTTGGTAAATTTATTGTTTTGTAAAAAGTTGTGGAACAAAAGTTGGTTATTTTGTCTGGGTATTTATGATATTAGTAATAAGTTCTGCGATGCTATTCGTATTTTGCTAATAATCCTGTATACGATTACTTATTATCATTTAAGACTGGCATTTCAAATTCTTTCTCAGGGCCGTATTCCAGAACTCTACTCAATGCTCAAGTCAGGATCTGAGTGTGATTTCAAGCACTGGAAATACGACCCTAATGGCAGGGACTTAAGTATGATTTCGAGTGGTTAAAACCATACTCAAGTACAGATTTGAGCATTGAGTACAGTTCTGGAATACGACCCTCGGACTATCAAGTTCCTTAATAGGGCTCGGTTGATACATGCATAGTTTCAGATCGCATTGCGAAGTTTCCTGTAAGAGCGTCTCTTATTGCCCCTAGAGCTACCACTAATAAATAAACCACGATCAAAGACACTGCTGCTACTACTGCCATTATAGCTGTTTGTCCCGGAAGTTTCCAGTCCAGGGTTGGGTATATATAGTGATTTCCCAGTCTGTGGACAAAAAATACACCTTTGTATTCACTATCACAAAAAAGAAAATATTTCAGAACTTAATATGTGCTTTTTAATTTTATTTTTATAATATTTTATTTATTTTGGGATAGTTACAAGATACACATTGTATAATACAAGTCAAACTATGATACTAAGCAGAAATAAACAAATTTATAGGTCAATAGCAACCGCGCATAACATGCAAATAACATTTTGCAATTAATGAATATGGCTAACCAAGTCAATATAAAATGTGTATAATACTTTAAATAAAATTACTTCACTCTGTGATGTGTTCACGTGCCTCTTTACAGTTAGGGCTTTTTATAATTTTTACAAATATGTTGGTGATCTGTTGGAATATATCAAGATTTTTACATAAAGCATTATACTGCCTGCATAAACGTATACGTATAAACGTACACAAGAACTAATTACGTTTTAGTACATACTTTTTCAAATTCAGACACGCAAGTAGCAGTAGACCTCCTTGTGAAAGAGTTCGACCGGGGAAGTACTAACACCTTACCTATTTCTGCCACTAAGTAGTAATGTGAGCTGCGTTTTGGTTTTGAAGGGTGCTGGTGAAATTACAGGCACGAGGGACTTGTCAACTTGTCTCAGGGTGACGGGCGCAGTGGCAGTGCCTCTTAGATTTTTGTGATTAAAATCACTGCAACTGTTATGGACGGGTGTGTTGCTTATCACCAGGCACATGACTTGCTCGTCCCGTCACTTCGTATCAAAAAGTAACAAAAGATAGTTTATGTAATGGGGTTACATTTTGCACCAAATGTCTTTATGTATATCAAGTATAAAGTGCATTATTTACAAGTTTACAACCGATATTAAGGCGCTTAAACTTGTGTATTGACTTACGGGTCAAGTCCTCCAGCTGCATAATAAATGCCGGAGAAAGCGAGATAGATGATGCCTATGCAAAGGACGAAATAGAAGTGCATCAGGCGTATGGGGTGCCGTGATGTCATCAATAGAATGAACATTATGATCGAGTTCATGCCGTGCAAGAAGAAGTCTAGAACTGGATCCAGTTGCCAGTCCTCACCTGAAAAAAAAATTTAACGTTTTAGTGTGATACAAATCAGCCTTGAAAGTAAAACTAGATAGAGAAAGGCAGAAGTTAAGCTATATAGATCATACAAAAAGATCTAGGACAGAGTGAATGAAAATATGAAGTATAGGTACTGACAAAAGATAAAATAATATCTCGGTACAAAGTACTAAAAAAACCGACCTCAAAAGTCATCCAACCCCTAGTTTGCCATCCTTAAAAATGGAATATTTTCATTAAATTTAATTGGAACTACCACTGAGGTATCCTCTTTCCACCAAAAATAGAATCATCAAAATCGGTTCACAAATGCCAGTTATCGCGTAACATAAAAAAACAGTCCAATTGAGAACCTCCTCCTTTTTTTGATGCCGGTAAATAATAGTTTTTGCATTTAAATAAAGTTAGTGAAACCACAATAATATACGGTGAAACTAATAATATGAGATAAGAAAACGTGGTAAGAAACCTGATACTAGTGATAATCATTTAGTGAATAACCACGAAAGTCTTAAAATCTATAAACTAATAATAATTAAATAAACAAACTGGTACGGTAAGATTTATAAACATAATGACTAGCTTAAGTATGTTTTTCAGAAACTTTGGAATTATCAGGAGTTCGGTTTCGGCTACTTCTTCGTTTTTTTCGAAGTTCTAGGTCTGTATAGTTCGAGGGTCCATTCTTTTTACAGTAGTAACAAAAAAATATTAACTTAATGGTAGACGACAGTTTTTGATTTGATCGAGATAAATGATAAATTTTTGCTGTAAAATGATCTTGTGATTGTTATTGAAATATGAAAATTTCTTATAATAAAGATTTGTTTAAATTCATTTGAAGCTTTTCATTGCATCAAGTTTAGGAACATAAAATATACGGCAAAAACAGACTACATTAACTATTAATATTCTTCAATTTGGTAATTCATTAACGATAAGGCTTTCTGAGAGAAAGTTTCTAATTTTATAATTTTTACGAATTTCGGGGAGAGCAGGAAATATTTCCCGCTCCTCCTACCGATCGGAGTTCCAATCGGAGCACCCTTGCTCTTCGAAACCGGAACACAGTAATGCTGACATTACTGCTTGGCGGCAGAAATAGGTAAGGTGGCAGTATTTGCCTGGACGAACTCTTTCACAGGCAGCTCTACTACTGCTACTACATAAGTAGTGCTAGGTAAGTGACTTACACATGACAGTTCTTGCACATGGCGTCTATGAAGATATATGTCTGTGCCTTGAACTCTACAAGGCACAGACATATATCTTCATAGACGCCGCAAGTACAGCAATTTGTGTGAAAACCAAGCGTGCCATATTTTAGTACTCACTATGACGTCACAAGGGTTATTTAGTGATGGAAACCTCCTTCCGCTCGCTCTAAATCGATTGATTGAACGGAATACGCGTAAACATGCGTATTCCATTCAATTAATCGATTCCAAATATAATAATTTTTGTTCAAGTATTTGTTGATTACAAGTAGTCGTAATAATAATATAGTAGAAAAATACTAGAATAAGATAATTAAGTCCTTTGTTTTACTTGTTATTAAAAAATGTTGATTACTTAAAAAAATTAGACTAATTTTTAATCGACTTCAAATATTGAAATTATTGTCCTTCCAATAAAATGAGCTTATTATATAACATCTTTTTGTAGTAGAAAACCTTATCGATTAATTTAAATAAAGAATACGCACGTCAATATATGAACTTGCGACTGCCTTAATTAATTTTACTAGATGGTTTTCTGTTGGTAATTGATCAAACTGATGAATGCCAAGACAATTGAAAATGTTACTGCTGACAAAATGTGGTAAAATCTTATTAATCGGAGGAGGTTTACTTAATGACGGCCTCGTGTGAAATTTTTGTGATTTGTTTACTATTTCTCGGATTTCTAACTCTGCTACTCTGCATATTTGGGTAGCATCTTAGGTGGAATAAACTAGACCACCTTCGTCCTCCAAAGCAACGAACTCATACATATTATGACCAACTCGGTTTTTGTAAAGACAGCGCACTATTAATTATATATTTTTTTATATTACTCGTACTACATATCCGGCGATGTATGTAATTATTTGCTCACTATATTCGGACATTCGAGTCAACGTGCTGCAAAAATTATGAAAATTACAGATACTACTGATAATAGATACTACAAAACTGAAAAAAAAACGAAACGTTACTAAACGTTATAACAAAAGAGTTATAGAATATTTTTTATAATATTGCTAAGGTTATAATAATTTTTGTCCCTTTGTTTTCAAAATCGATCAGAATCGAGAACAGTGTTACCTAACGTATACATCACTAAATGTTAAATTTGGCCTAAGAAATGTACAAGCGCCCGTACCACAAAACTGAATGTATTATATAAAAGTGCGTTCGTTCGATATTCATGGCGTATTAACAAAGGATCACAAATATATCGCATCGAGAAAAAGCCACAATGTATTACATACATGAGACATACACTTTGCATATTTGTTTTTTCGAAATCACACAAAACCAAAATAATTATTTTTAAAATAAATTATGTATCTTCTGATTACAAAACCGTGGAAGGAAACGTCCCTGTTTACCCGTTAACCCGCAGTTATGGTGTTTTTGCAGTTTTTAATGGCAAAATTATGCATTTTTCGCGTTTTCGACTGGTGTTTATCTACGATAACGGTGGAGCGCGTTCTGAAGTGTAGCAGCGGCAAGTAAGTGAATTTCACTTACTTTGGGCACACGAAGTACGTACACTTGCGGCGTATGTCTGTAGTTCAAGTTCATAAAATATAGGATTCTTTTGTTTCGATTAATTATTATTTAAATTTTTACTGTACTTCAGTAAAGAGTATTTCAAGCTTGACTCTTTCGGCTTTGAATTGTTTTTATCGTAAGTGGCGTAGAGTTGAATTCGTAAAGTGCTTTTATCACATGATAGTTATAAAAATAATACGAACTACATGAAACAAATTATGTATTATGTAAAATGTTGTCACTCTCCTACTTAAACATAAAAAAGTTATCGAATAATTTAGTTTCTAGAACCTTTAAACTTCTTCCCTGAAAAGTTGTCATTTTGCACATGTGGCCTTATTACACCAAAGGTATGAATGTAAGTCTAGGCTGACGCACTGAGAAAATGTCGCACATGAAACCAAATATTGTCATAACACAAAAATGGTGGAGTGAGAAAATACGATTGGAAAGTTAACAAATCAGTAAATATATATCCTCGTTTGTAAGTGGACATCGAGTATATAACCAGAAATAGAGACAAAATGTCATTTAATTTGTTTGAAAACTATTCTGCCATATCATTTATGTGACAACTGCGCTCCAATTGGCTAGCCCGAGTTCGAAACAATTGACGGGTGTCGTCAGTGGGTGTCGTCAACTGTTTCCCTTCAAATCGACCAGGTAACTTGAGCTTTGCTATAATGGATGAAAATTGCAAAATTGCATATTTAATATTTAATTACCGATGAAATGTGATTCCGTTTGTTTTGTAATTAGATGTTTTGCTGTTTCTCCTACACCACCGAATAGAACAGCACGGTATTGTTAGAGATATTATCTTTAATACAATAAATACAGAATATTTTTTGGAATATACGGAGACGTACACACAGGTCAGTAGTTGGCCTGTCTATATTTCAGTGCAAACGAGAGTTGATGTTTTTAAGAGCTGTATCGCTCATGTGCTACCAGGAATATATGGCCCTTATTTCGTCTCTATTTCTGGTTATATACTTGATGTAAATGGATAGCTACTTCTTGTGGAGTCAATAACAGAAACCAATAAAAATAACTAATGTTATATTTCTTTGACCCAGTAAGCAGCCACCTTTATGGCCCTATCTGTTGCGTTTAGGTCTTCACAGGTGCAGCTGGTCGGACACAGTGGACATGAGAGCAAGTGA